ATTGGTTCCAAGCCCCTCCTTAGATCCTATAACGACTTTCCCATACTAAACCTTGGTGACCAGCCAATCTCCTTCTACTCCTCTGTCAAAAATTTAGGACTATTTATTGATCAAACCCTCTCCTGGAATCACCATATTTCTCACATCTCCCGACAGACAATTTCTACTCTCAAACTATTCCATCGCTTCCGCCATCTCCTACCTCAACATACGCGTAGACTCCTGGTTTCCTCTCTCATCTTCCCCCACTTTGACTACAGCTGTGTGGTGTATGATGGACTCTCGATGGAGCTCCATAACAGACAGAAAAGATTAATGAACAGTTGCGTGAGATTTGTAATTGGTACCGCGAGATACTACCATGTCTCTCACCACTACACTGAGTTTAGAGTGGCTCTTCCCCTCTATTCGAAGACAATATTTCCTAGGTACATTCCTCTATCATATCATCAACAATCATCGTCCTTCCTACGCCTACAACCTTCTCCAGTTCAAATCCTCAGTCCATTCCCTTTCCACAAGATCTCGACCCTCTAACCTTTACATGCCTTCTCTCAGATCTGCCTCATTCCAAGACTCCTTTTTTGCTCTCTCTGTCAATTTCTGGAATTCCCTCCCTATCAAAATTCAACATTCCCCATCCATATCTACATTAAAAATCCTCCTATTCCAATTCCTATCCCAAAAACAGTCAGATAGTTGCTAACCATTTGACAATATACGTTAATTGCATGCCATTCATTGTCAAATATCAATGCTATTCCTTGCTAGAGATATTAAATTTCTTATAGGGTAAAGATTTTCCTACTCTTGATGTCACTGAACGTATCTATTGGTAGTTTATAAATATTATCTTTTATACAAAACTAAATTCTTGCCTATTGTTGCATTAAGAAATGATGATGATGTATTTATACATTAATCAATTTTTTTTTTTTTATTGAGTATTAATACAGTCTGCCACACTGAAGGGCATTGGTACTAGGGCTATAGTATTCATTCACACAATATGTACATAAGAAAATAAAATAAACATAAATAACCAAAGTAAGAAAAAAAAAAAATATATATATATATATATATATATATATATATATATATATATTATATATATATATATATATATATATATATATATATATATATATATATATATATATATAAATAAAAGATGAAGTAATATACAAGATAAGTAAAATAACAGATTAAAGCTGAATGATAATACAATAAATAAAACACATTCACACCTATATACAATATATTGGTCCAGGGGACTCTGAATCAAGCTTTGTCCCCCAAATATGGAAGCCAAAGGAGGACTCCAGGAGATCCCAGTGCTTCTCCCCCAGCCACGTCACTGGTAATATAAGCCAGTGGAGACTGATGGAGGACAATAGAGCAACAAATGCTCAGGACTTGAGTGAAGAATCTGGCCAGTGCCATTACTGAAATATATACATATTGCCGTTTTAACCTCCGATGAGGATTGTTGGGATGACTGGAGCTAGATAGACACTATGCTACAGGATTAGGATGATGAGTGAGATTCTGGTGAAAGTTGGAAAATTTTTCTGGAATTAGGTCAAGTACAAATGGGATATTAAGGTCATTATGTAGAGTTTTATTAGTTACATAAAATGGAGCATTGACTATTGTTTTGAAGAACTTTAGACGAGAAGTATTGAATGCGTTTGATGTTAGAAAGTTTTGTTGTCCCCCACAGTTCGAGACCGTAGGTCCAGATAGGTTTCAGGATTGTCTTATAGATTAATAGTTTGTTCTCAACTGAAAGTTGAGATTTTCTATTGAGTAGTCTATATAGTCGGCCATATCGTCGGTTAATAATCAACATTTAAATGATAATGTATATATATATTAATCAGGCACTTTATATTGTCAGGTTCAGCTTTCTGTTTTCTCAACAGAAACACAAAGCTTATTTTAATGAAGAATTTAATATATTTTTTTTTTTTTCTTTATTGTTTTCTTAAAAGTGTATACTGGTCTATCAGTGCAAATAGCTTTAAGTGTCTTGTCATAGTGTTAATTGTTTTGTATATAGTTTTGTTTGTTTTGTATATAGAATGTTTATCTTATATTTTCTTTACATCATTTCTTTTTTCTATTGATTTTATTTTGGCTAGATGTAATCTTTTAATTTTGTTCTATTTTGTTATTGTCAAGGGACTGTGTCCCAGAATAAAGTTAAAGTTATTTTCTATCTATCTATCTATCTATATATATATATTGTTTTGTTTTTTTCAAATGGTACTGTATATTTATATGTAAGTTTTATTGATTGTGCATTCCTATTAAGCTGTGTATTTAGAAACCCAGTATAATTGGGTAGCACTCTTATATGAAAATTAAGTGTTTCTCTTTCTCTGAATAAACACTCATCTTTTCCCTTATTTTCATTTTAACTTAATAATCTACTATGTTATCTATGTCAAGTTGAACTTCATGTTAATAAAGAAACACAATCTTATGTCAGTATGTTGTATTAATATTAAGTCACCTATGTTTTTCTCAAGTTCAAGGTTTTTCTCTATACATTTCTATAATGAGACTGCATTTTCTTGTATAAACTTCCAGTAGAAAATGCTCCCTAGGTTGTTTACCAAATCAAACATAGTTGCTTTATATCTATTGTCCCTATAATAATTTCAGTAATTATTACACACACAGATATATATACAAACAAATGATATATTTTAAGTTCACAGTGTATCTAAAATTGTTTAAATGTGTGTAGTAGCAATCTACCGAAACAGAATTTAAAATAAAAAAAATACATGTACTTTAGGAGAAGCTAATATTGAAAATTAGCCATTAGAAGCCCTGTTAGAGAACATCGATCAGAATAAAAACTACATTTTATTTAAAATTGCTTGATTTGACACTGATATAATGAATTTAATCAAAATCGTTAGAGTCGTTCTTGAGGAAATCGTAAAAATGTGTTTAGCCCATAATATAAAGTGCCACTTCCAGTTAGCTGATTTTGATGAAGAAACATGAAAACCATAAAAAGATATAAGCCTAGAACCAGGTTATGATAAAAAAGTTGAGGAATAGATTTTTATAAAAGAAAAACATTACACTAAAATTAACAAAATAATATTATATATTCTTTGTTAATTTTAGTGTAATGTTTTTCTTCTTTAAAAATCTATTCCTCAACTTTTTTATCATAACCTGGTTGTAGGCTTATATCTTTTTATGGTTTTCATGTTCATACCCAGATAGTTTTTTTTTCCAATTTTGCTCTGACAGTATCTATTTAACATTTCAGCACATTATGTACAATACAGTTTTCGGAGACTCGGATTTAACCAATCAAATTGAAGAAAATAAAATAAAATACAGTTGCTGTATTTTTTTTTTATTTTTTTTTTTTAACTTTCAATACATTACACATTATATAAAGACAACTCATATTTTCACTCAGTAAAATGCATAACTTTGATTAAAATTTTATTTAATATTCATAATTTTCATTACAACTATTCTCATTCCAAAATAATATTCTATATAATTAACTCAATGGATATCTTACATTTGACACTAAATTGACTCATCACATTGTCCTGGTAGCTTATTAAAGTTTCTATTATATAAATCAAGTAAAAATAATTATACTTCTGTATTAGTATAACATTATATATTGATATAGTATTAATAAACATTAATAATATTTTAAACATTAAGAAAAAAAAATTAAATTTTGTGTGAAATAGTTAAGAGATAGTGTACAGGAATTGTAGCTGTACACTTTGCTAGACGAGCAATAGAAATAATTAAATATACTCAAGAATCTTATACATCCAATATTCTAGTTAAAATCCAACAATTTAAATTATTATTGTTATTGTGGAAGAATAAAATTCCTTTTTATGGCTCCATGTCATAAATATATAATATTTGTATAATTTTTATTCTCTCATTTTTTCTTGTCCATAGGTCGAATTTAATAAACAATCACTCTTAATTTATATTGTTATTCTTTATTATTTGTATTTGTACATTTCTGAGAAATAATACAAAAAAAACACGTTAGATCATGGATGAAGATTATTTTGGAACTTACACAATAATGGGGGAAATTATATGCTGAGGAGGGAAACAAAGTGCCCCTGAAAAACAAATATAATTAACAAAGAATAACACTATAAATTAAAAGTGATTGTTTATTAAATTTGACATATTGCCAAGAAGTAAGGGAAAAACAATTAATAAAGCAACAATTAATTTTTTTAGATAAGTACCATTGAACCAATCTTATTGTAGTAAATTTTGTGGCTTACACAATTTTTTGGGAGAATAATATATTACTGAAGAGGGGGACGAAGTTTCCCTGAAACGTGCATAAATTGGAATGAAAGACTTATTTGATTAATTTATTCTGACCATTAGGCAAATGTATCACTGTAATAATGTTTCATACCTGAAGTTAATGAATTAAAACTTTCACTAATGACTGAATGGCTATTGAAACCAAGTCAGATATATTTACCTTTAGCAATATTAGTAATTATGAAATATCATACAATTTTTTCTCATTTCAAAAATTCATAAATACAAATTTTGCTCTGGGCACTTCTACACTTGCACCAAAAATCTTTAAACTAATTATAAAGTAGAGATGGGTAATTAGCCAACTGATGAATTATAAGGATGAAACAAAATTATCAGAAATTTCAGTCAAAATTTCTTTTATAAGTTAGCTGACGTTTCGACCAACACATGGGTCATCGTGGCTATTGTTTGGAAGTCGAGACAAGAACTCCCAGTTTCTAGTACCTTCCCATTGATGATGACCTAAATGTTTTGTTCGAGACGTCGGCTAACTTATTAAAGAAATTTTTAGTGAAATTCCTGACAATTTTGTTTCATCCTAATTATAAAATAAACAATAACTAATAAATTGAATCAATATTTCATTTTTTTTTTTTTTCAAAATTGAGGACTAAATATTATAATCATTGAAACTTCTCACATCAATATTCTACGCAAATACAAATGATCTTCCTTCGTTGTTCTGGACAAATACGTAGTTTAATTCTTAATATATATTGCATGAAAATGTACAATAAAAATACCACGTAAGTAATGAAGTAGTAGTAATAGCATTTTATAATGTTAACAAGTTCCTTTTTTGGTGCAATTCTAGTTAGCTTCTTAAAAGGTGTCATCTTAGGTTGCTCTGAGCAATACCATCTCCGAAATTTCATTAGATTATTTGCAAGAATGTACAAGAATGCAAATGCATGAGTAAGCAAATAGCAAAGAAAAAATCTAAAATATTTCTCTAGTTTCCAGGATGATGTTTGTGATTTCTGCAAAAGAAATAATAATAATAATGATAATAAATGATGAACTGGATATATCTATAACCGCATTTATAAACAAAGGAGGTTTTAGCTCTTTGGATAATGGATTCCTAACTTGTAGGTCTAGGTTTAAATCTGGATGTGAAAGGTAATTTATTTATTCAGTTATTTCAGCCATGGATTGACTCCTTAGCAAATTAAACCTAAAAACTCCTTAATTTGGTTGTGGAATAACTTCCAGTTAGCAAGCACATCGTGAATGCTAAATTGGTGAATAATAAATTCCACCTCCTTGTATAATACTTTGTTACCAAATACTGAATCCAAGATCCTTTATGGGTTGTAGCAATATGTTTTCAGAAAATACTTCTTTATATGTGCATATAATAATAATAATAATAATGCTTTATCTATTCTGGGACGAGTCCCTTTAGAATAATACAGAGAGACAAAAATGTGGGCTAAGGATCCTCAGAGATACATAAACAAGAATATAGTTTGATTAAATAGTAAAAAAAAATTTTTTTAAAAATAATAAGGGAAATTATAAGTTACTTTCTAATTTAAATCAGTTAATAATAAAAAATTGAAAAATAAACATGAAGTAAAAATAATAAAGAACAATCTAATAATTTATATACATATTTACAGTAGTAACTGTTCACAATTTTATGAGGACTGGATGGATAAGAAATGATTAAACAGTCAGGATTTAAAAGTAGGAAGGGTTTTAGATTGACGGATGTGGGGAGGGATGGAGTTCCATAGGGAAGAGGATTGAATAATAAAAGATTTATCGAAAGCAGCAGTTCGGTGGGTCATTATATATAAATCTGAAGACCGGGGACAGGTATTGCGGGAGTGGACAGAGGATTTAAATTGAAGGAGCTCGGCGATGTATGAAGGACGGCGGGAGTGAATTACTTGGAAAAGGAAGGATGCCAGGAAATACTTATGGCGGTAGGAAGGATAAAGCCACTTCAACTCTTCATAGAAACAGGAAACAACACTCTTGGGATCCTGAAGATGAATTGTACAAAACAATTTATCAAATGTTTTAGTTTCGCCTCGAGATCCCCAGAGACGCCTCCATATACCGTGCAGCAATAGTCGAAGTGGAAAATTATTAATGAGGTGACCAGGAATCTACGGATTTCTAAAGGAAAAAGGTGTCGCAGGCTACTTAAGTGTTTTAGGGTGGAAAAGGTACGTTGGAAGATATTTGACACATAGCTTTTTCCAGGAAAGGGTTTGATCAAAGATTATAAGGTTTTTGATGGTGGGATAAAATTTAATGGGATTATCATGTAGAAACAGGTTTGGAAAGTTAGGAACAGTTTTGAGGGGGTGATTGGAGCCTATTAGGATTGCCTTGGTCTTTTCCACATTCAACTTCAGCTTGTTAGCTCCGGCCCAGTCATATATTCTATTTAAATCTTCTTGAAGCTTTTCTGTGGCAGCTAATAGGTCAGAACGGGAGAAGGACAGGTATATTTGGAAATCGTCAGCATAGATGTGGTATTGGGAGTGATGGATCAGGAAGGGAAGGTCATTAATGTAAATAGCAAACAGAGTAGGAGACAAGGAGGAAACCTGAGGGACACCACAGGAGAGGGGAAATGTCTTTGAAGGAGGTTGATCTGGGACGACTACATACTGGGATTGATCGAAAAGGAAGGATTTGAATCAATGCAGGACACTGTTGGATAGAGGAAGATTTTGCAATTTGATAAGAAGGATATATATATATATATATCTAGCTATATATATATATATATATATATATATATATATATATATATATATATATATATATATATATATAGCTGTTTTCTATTTTTCTATTTCTATATATATATATATATATATATATATATATATATATATATATATATTGCCGATCATTAAAAATATGGATTATAAGTTCACGCTTTTTTATCATTGAGTCTCTATTTTATTTTAAAAACTTTATTTGTCGAGAAGCTTTCGGTGCCTGTGCACCATATTCATCTCTATAATTGTAATACTCCAATTCGGATAATTTAATAGTTAATAAATTACATTAACAATACATTTATTACATAACTTTTGAAATGTCATACAATTATTATCAGATCATGCCATACCTTTTATTATTTTTGTCTATTTAAAAAATATAAAGGATAAGAACAGATTTCTTGTTGTCCGTCTCATGTCAGCTTTCTCCGAGAATAGGACTTCTGTTTGTCGGACACCATCTTACTGAGTGCTGAGGATTTACTGTCAGCACCCTATATATTATCACAACTATTTGGCAACTGAAGTTAACCTACCTTATTTTATTCCACTATTATTTAAATTTTTATGGATGGCTGTTATATATGAATAATGCTGTGTGATGGGGGCCATACCTTTTTTGACCCATTCTATTTCATATGAAGAAGACTCACTGTCTTCATTTGTAGTAGTTTTCTCTATGAAAATTGATTTGGTCAGTAGGGAGGGACCATACATTTGTTCTGGAACAACAGCCATATCAGCAGCTGATGAATTTTTAATATCATTTACGTTTTGAATTTTAATAACATCATTTTTATACTTATTCTTGTTTACTATATATGAGGTCAATTTCTTAGGTTGTTGATTTTTGAGAGAATAGTTAGCTTCTATCTTTCTAAAGCTGAGATATTTTTCATATCTTACTTGTTTTTCAGGATCACCAATGAATGGTCTAAAACCTAACTCATCAGAACTTTTGTTTTCTCCAATCTGTGTTTCTTCATTAAGATCAATTTTTCCCTGCTTTCAATGGCCAGGCAACGAATCTTCTAAAATGATCGCTCTGTCAGAAGAATTAACTATATGTTCTCCTCTCACTGTCTGGACATTTCCCACAATATCAGGACCAAATCCTAATTTTCTTTGAGTAATATTGGGATCAAAGTTAGGTTGCAGTTTAGGAGATGCATCATATTTCTTTCCATGACTTTGGATTTTAGCTGGCATAAGCTCTTTAATGCAATTGTAATTTTCAATCACTGCGAGCATCTCTTTTTATTTTTGTCTTTCTTTCCTCCTAGCCTCCTTCAAACTATCACAGGCTTTCAAAGAAAAGTCATATCTGGACATATTTTTAGCATAAATCTCATCATCATCCTCACCTGCCCTAATTCTATTTTCCTTAGCATAATCTTTAACATATATGTCTTCATCTTCATCCTTAAATGTTCTATGCTATCTTTCTTAGCATAATCTTTGTCATATACGTTCCCATCTTCTTTTTCAAATGGTCCGACACTAAAAACTTGGCCACGGATTGATGGTGTCTTTCTATTTTCACAAACTTTCATAGCAGTTTCAAACAAACCAAATCTTCTTTTGTCAAAACCTGAATTAACACAAGATTGATCATTATTTCTAATAGAAATTTTATCACCTTTAATGACATTCCAGTTCTTAATTTTAACAATCTCATACCTTTTCCTATATCCTTCGGCCACTTCCACTTCTGACATTATTTGTTCTTCGGGTATATCATTCTCCACAGCTCGATCAAATATTTCCTTTTCAAGTGATTCTAAAATCTCTGACTTCTTCAGAAGCTCTAAGCAAGCGGATATTTTTACCAAATTAAGAATATCACTACTGAGCAACTGTTCTAACTCATTAGCGTACCTTGTAAAGAAAACATGGCATATCCTTCTCTGCATCTTCTTACTTTCCATTTTGAACTCAGTCAACAAACTAGAAAATGGAGTACTCAACAGGTCCTGTCACGGTCGCCACTTACGTTCTGGTTAGAGGTCTATATATAACTGACCATTATATTTGATCCCTAGTTTCAAATAAAATAAAGTTGAATACTCTGAAATTGAAATAAATTAACTTTTATTTCAACACTAACTTTACACAGCGATTTTAGAATTTGAGACTTATAGACTTTTTACAGTAATAATATTTTTTTTACATATGAATATTTCAACAATTTGAAATCATTTAAACCTTTATAAAATAAATATGACTTTTAACTAACTTCCCAACATTATATGTCAGTTTGTTGATGTACGTTAAGGATTTGAATTTTTTATGGAAATTGGTTCGAGTATGTTACTATTTTCTGAATTTTGGTTTGGTTCAGTATCTTTTGTATTACTTAGTGAGCTGGTGTTGAAGAATAGTTTTAGACTGGTTTGGGTTGTGGGCCGATTGGTATTTAAGTTGATAGTAGGTTCACTAAGTAAAGTAAGTAAGTAGGTTACACCAGCTCACTAAGTAATACAAAAGACAATGAACCAAACCAAAATTCAGAAAATAGTAATATATTCAAACTGATTTCCATAAAAAATTCAAATCTTTAACGTACATCAACAAATTGACATACATTATCATAAAAACCTTGAAAAATTAGACATAGACAATTTCAAATTCACCCTCAAACCCAAAAACCCTATACAAAACTTACTGACTAAGACGAAGAACCCAACTCCTATCCAAAACAATAGAAATTTAATTTATGATATCCTCTGTAAGAATTGTTACAAATCATATATAGGAACGACATTGATCAATATAAAACAATAATATATAACCACAAAAGTAGCTTTAAGCCTAATTCAAAAACAGTTAATGCTTTATCAAACCATTAAAAAAATCATTGACATGAAAAAAATTTCTAAAATATTAAAATACTTTATAAATCAAACTACCGATCATAGCTAAAAATTTTAGAATCCATCTATATAGCAATAAACCAAAAAACAAAATGTGCTAAATTCAAAACAGGAAGCGGCCCACATCCCACAACATTATTCACATATAATAGCCATCCAAAAAAATTGAAATAATAGAGGAATGAAATAAGGTAGGTTAACTTTAGTTGCCAAATAGTTGTGATAATATATAGGATGCTGACTTTAAATCCTCAGCACTCAGTAAGATGGTGTCCGACAAACAGGAGTCCTATTCTCACAGAAAATTGACATGAGACGAAGTACAAGAAATCTGTTCTTATCCTTTATATTTTTTAAATAGACAAAAATAATAAAAGGTATGGCATGATCTGATAATAATTGTACGACATTTCAAAAGTTATGTAATAAATGTATTGTTAATGTAATTTATTAACTATTAAATTATCCAAATTGGAGTATTACAATTATAGAGATGAATATGGTGCACAGACACCGAAAGCTTCTCGACAAATAAAGTTTTTAAAATAAAATAGAGACTGTCAATAGTAAAAAAATCCTGAACTCATTAGAAAATATAAACATTTTAAAATTTCCCGATAATTAACAGAAAAATACAGATTATTTGTAAGTCTAGGTTTGAACATAATCACTTTTACAGAATAAACACACCAGTATAATTCAGAATTAAATAAATAAACAAAAATTGAATGAATGTTATTTTTTTTCTAATTTTTCTGGTCTAAGAAGACTGATTATGAAGAGAAAATATCATTAAATAAAGAAGAAAAGATTACCTACTCGACTTACAAATAAGATACTGTAAGATTTATTCAATTTTAAGTCTTTTGGTTCTTAGTAAAAATGTTGTACTGTTAAGGCTTTAGTTAAAAATGAAGTAATAAAATAATTATTTTAGCAATTTCATTTGTCGGTAATCAGTTAAATAAAATTACTTAAATGAAGAACATAGAAACATACTTACTTCTTGAGATATTCCACTTTTAGGATGAAGAGAATTTCTTTGGGTATTTCGAACCAGCTGTTTGTTTCTATTTTTTATATTTCTCATTCTATGTTTTTTATTGTTTTTCATGTTTTAGTTTAAAAATCTGAGTCTCTACAAAAGTCAGAATATGATCAATTTCATCAAGAAATCATTATTAGAAAATATATTGTAATCGTATTGATCAAACTAACATTGTATATAGCAAAAGTAAACAATATTTCTTTATTCTGTTTATAATAGTGAATGAAATATGAAGTATAGTAGAAAATAAAATAAAGGTCGTGTACCACAGATATGTTAGAACTTGTTTAACCTGTCACTTTCTTGAAAACTGCACTGAGAATGAAAAATCAGCCACTGTATAGGAACAGGAGTGCCAACACTAGCACTACAACACTGTTACTCTTTCTTGGAAATAATCTGAATGACTTTAATTGTTTATTTTAGATAAGCTTTTATGAAATTAAAGACTTTTAGATAAATTATAAACATAACCAATAGTAATAGAAGTTTTTTTAATTTTTTTATTGTTTTTATATTACAAAATGTAATCACATACATTAGTAATAATCACCATCTTAACAAACAAATAAACATTAACTGTTTTTTTTCTCTCTTTTCAGAAAATTAGTTTATATTTTTTCCCATCTTAATTAGCCTGTTTCACCTATTCTTTTTCTGAGCTAATGTTTGTAGATAGCTAGATGTAGGTCATTTGGTCTACTTCTCCACCTAAGGTTAAGTCATTCTTTGTAATTAATATTCTGTATTGTACAGATTAGATTTTTTTGGGATTTCAGTATTAATGAGTAAGAAATGAAATGAAAAGTATTACAAAAAATACTAACATCTAAAATACTTAGTTGCTCTTTACAACTGCTTCCTATAAGAAAATTATAAATGTTTTTATAAATTAAATTTCTTATTTTATTTATTTATTTATATTTTATTTTTTGGAAGAGAAGTAGTTATGAAAAGAAGCCACAGTGGATTTATTTGTAAAACAACTAGTTGAGAAAATATAATTTATTCAATCGATATTTTTTTTTTTTTTTTACTTTTATTATGATATTTACAACTGTATTAGTATGAATACATCAAGTAAATTTGTACAGAGAAATATTATTACATGAAACACGCTTGTTGAGAAACTACCCACTGGTAGCACTCTAATAATTTGTCTACATGAGAAGATCACGAGGCCATCTTCTTTTCAGACGCCTCGGAGGGTTATCAGGAATCGAAGAGGAAGCAAGGTTAGAAACAAGAGGATTCAGATGGTTATGAAGTTTATTATGGAAGGATAGGTATCTGGATTTGGCCAAATCGGAAACATATGGAACATTGAGGTCTTTATGGATTATTTTATTAGTGACAAAGTAAGGAGCATTGAGGATCGATATTTTTAAACAAGAATTTGCTTTAAAAAAAAAAAAAATAATTGACCAACAAACAACCAAATAAGTAGATATTAATTCCAAATTAAACGTTTTAGCAATTAGATTTTAATAATAACCTTTCCTCAAACAATTAATCATTCAACTATTTCATTCTGGTTGCATCAAATAAATCAGAGAACAGATACAGTCATTTAACTGACCACGATGTGGGCAGCGTAGTGTTATATTTTATAAAAACAATTTTTATCACAGGCTAATCATCCAGGATTTGTAAATTGATCTTGTAGAAATCTAGTCTCAATTTAAACCCAATTCACTCTAAATTGAGCGAGAATGGTATTTGTACATAAAGAAGTATTTGAATTATTTTCCTCCGTTAGGTTTAGTCATTTGCAGGCTGAGTAAGTTTATCAACAATAAATATATTTTACAATATCTCTTATCTCGTTATATTAAGTGATTACTAAAAATATTTTAGCATAAAATATGAATTATTGTTTATAACAATAATTTTACTGAAAAAGATATTTTTAATAATTTCTTAGGTTAATTGTAATTTTCATTTATGAAACTTTCCTTGCAATTTTTAGTTTTATGACTTTAATGATTTTTTTTTAAATGTCTTGAACATTTCACTGTAATTTTCAACTCCACTGTAATAAAAAAATAATATATTTCTTCTGATTAATTTGAGCATTTTTTCCTTGTTCTATAGAGGGAAGTTCTTTAAAACCATATAAATAAAAATACATTAGTTCTTCTCAACAATATGTCTATCGATAATATACTCTTTCATCCTTGCAATGAAAAAATCGTATAACCTTTCGTAATTTATAAATATCTACCAGTTTTATTGTCAAGAATAATTGTATTTAAAAATTAAGCACCATTAACCTAAACAAGTTTTAAACTTAATTTTCTTTGGCTAGTTCTAGTATGAACAATTTGTCTTACTAAATAACTTAAAGGCAGCATCTCAATTTAATAATGTATTTTATGTATTTAAACTACAAAATAAAATACATTTTATTTTGTATTTTAAAATTACTTCCTAATTCTGCTTTGGGGTTTTATTGATTTAATGGTTCATAATATTTATAAGATTAATATTTCATTCTTGATTTTATATCCAAAGTAAAAATTTATTTTTTAGTCTGATACATTCTGATTAATAAAAGATTTGCTTATATTAGGTTTTATTTTTTAAAAATATATCATAAATAATTATTTATTTATTTCTTGCATTGAGTTTTTTTATGTTTACTGGAATGGCTTCAGCTATTCATCCAATATGCTAATTTGGAAAAAATAAAGCTTAACTTTTCAATTTGTTCTGTGAATTAGCTCAGTGCTTCTGCCATTTATTTAGATATTTAAGAGATGTCCACCAATTTTCAATACATTGGTCAGTTTTTCCAAAGCTATACTAGTGATAAGCCTTGTTTATATGTTCATATCTGACTCATTCATTATTTAAGTTAAATTCTAATATCGCCCAGGCCTACCTTTACGATGGAGAACTGAGTTTGTACAACTTGGTATTCTTAGTCCTGTCAAGTTAGAATTTATTTACATCTTTGTACGTCAAATAAAAGGAAATTATTTATTATGCTTTGAGAGTCGGTCAATATAGAAAATTTTTATTGTCTTGAAATATGTAATAGTTATTTTAATACAACCAGTAGTACACAAGTAATACATAAACTTATGGGAAATAATAAATTATGCTTTAAATAAAACACCTTTACTTTAAAATATTTATCTAACGAGTTAAAGTGGCTCTTCCCCTCCATTCGAAGACAATATTTCCTAGGTACGTTCCTCTATCAAATCATCAACAATCATCGTCCCTCTTACGCTTACAACCTTCTCCAATTAAAGTCCTCAGTCCACTCCCTTTTCACAAGATCTCGACCTTCCGTTCTTTACATTCCTTCTCACAGATCTGCTTCATTCCAAAACTCGTTTATTGCTCACTCTGTTAATTTCTGGAATTCCCTTCCTATCAAAATCCGCCATTCTCCCTCCCTATCTACATTTAAAACATTCCTATTCCAATTTCTATCCCCAAAACAGTCAGACACCCCCGCTAACCTTTTATGTAAATTTACATATTATTCAAAATGATTCACATAATGATATATTTACGTATAATTCATGACTTAAATACTTACTATCAGATTCGTCTTCTTTTTCTTTTTTTTTCTCTTCTTCAGAAACACAGAGTTTATTGCTATGAAGAATGTAATGTATGTTTTACCACTGTACATAGTTTTTGTGTCTCAGCATGGTTTCAAGTGTTTTGTATATAGATTTTTTTTTATTTTGTACATAGTATGTTTAAATAATATTTTCTTTACTTTTTTATCTTTATTTTTACATTTTATGTTTGTTTTTACTTGAGCCAGATATAATACTTTAATTTTGTACTTCTTTGTTATTCTAAAGGTACTTCGTCCCAGAGTGAAATTATTTTTCTATTCTATTCTATTCTAGTTGTCCACAAATGAGCAATATTGGAGTTAATTTGTTTTAGATAAGTTTAATAAAATTCAGAAAATTATACATTATTCTAGTTTCTTATTACTCAACTTTGTACAATTATGAATTAGCTCCTGTTTAATGTTGGGGCAGTTTAGTTGATTCATTACAATTATAATGGCAAAAACAGTGATGAAGTAAAATGTGATAAAAATAGAAACAAAGAACACATTTTTTTTTAAGTTTGTGTAATGTAAAGGAGTACTAATGCTTTCAAAATTGTTTTTATTCTGCTCAAGTTCATTTGCTACTTCTTCCATTGAAACAGCTTCTTCTTCAGATGATGATGACATCTGAAAATAAAATAAAATAATAAATGATTATTGACATTAACAGAACATGAAGTCAAAATTAATATCTACAATACTATATAAGAAGTGATATAACATATTATGTATACTCACACTAGTAAGTTATTTATTAGATTTTCTATTTACATGTTTATATAGTTAAAGATATAGAGAGAGGGATAACAAAACTATGCTATAATAATAAGTGTAAACATCTATACTCTCAGTTGAAATATCTACATATAAAAATATAATTGGATGTTATCAAAGCTATTATATACAAATAAATATTTATCTAAACTAAAATAATTGAACAGAAAATTTTAAAGAAATATTGAAATAAACATTTAACTAAACAAAAATAATATTGTGAATACTTATATTTTTAAATAAACATTTTACCAAACTATTAATGAATGAATAATTTCAAAAAAGTTTTGTACAATTTAACAGAAATAAAATAGTGAGTTCATTTAAGAAGCTACAAGGCTAAAAAACTAAATAAAGATAACAAAAAGGGTATATAGACAAATAAACATGTAACAAACAATTACAATTTGTTTTTTACATAAATTAGGCTAACTATCACCAACATTTTATTGATTAGCATAAATTAGGACGTTTCGACCATACTAAGGGCTATTTTCAAGTCTGGAAAATTGTAATATAATTATTAGTTAACATTTAACAATTACAAAAAGAATTTCTTACTACACATAATTAACTTGTCTAACGATCTATGTCATATTATTTTCGATACACATAAATTTATCCAAATCTATACAATAAAAGTATACACTTTTTCTTATAAAAAACCTTACATGTTCGTAACTTTAAACCTTACATTAAAAACAATTTAAATTACCTTGATGAGTCCTCCGTTATAAATTCATTATTAACAATCCCGAGTTACTAATAATAAAATCGGATAAAACCAAAAAAACAGTGATAATTTCTAAAAAAGAATCTAATCATAAAATACAGAACCTATTGGATGACAGCCTAACTTATAGCCTCAGAAAAGATCCCTCAAAGGAAATACAAGACAAAATTATAATATACATCGATAAATTATGTAAAAATAAATACATCAATGATAAAGTTAAAGATAAGTTGATAGCAAGGCATTATACAATACCCAGGATACACGGATTAAGTAAACTACATAAAAATAATAAACCCCTAAGACCTATTGTGAACAATATAAACGGCATCACCGAAAAATTATCCAAATTTCTAAATCCCGCATTTTTTAAATTATTTTTTTTATTTATTTATTTAGACATATAAAATTCTGTCACAGGGACAATAATTATATTGATAAATGAACACATTCACACCGTATATACAAAAATAAAATTAACAAAGTAAAACAATAACTAAATAATAATAAATAAAAACTATATACAATAAAAAATAAAATAATCTAAATATAAGTAAATTAAAAACATAAAAATACAATCATACCTATATACAATATATACAATCAGGCGGGGAACCCAAATCCCTACGCTACTCTCTCAACCGCTTCACCGGTGCTAAAGCCGGTGGAGTTTGAGCGAGAGCGCTTTAGCCACATACACTCATGTCTTGAGTGGAGAATCTGGCCATTGCCAGAACTCCAAAATAATACTATAAAAGATCTCTGCGCCACTGCCGCTTCAACCTTCGAGGAGGGTTGTAGGGATGAATGGAACTACATAGGGATTGGGCTAGGGGATTTGGATGATTGATAAGGTTCTGATGGAATTTTGAAAATTTTTCAGGGATAAGGTCAAGGACAAATGGGATATTAAGGTCATGATGTAGGGTTTTGTTGGTTACATAGAACGGAGCATCGACTATTGTTCGGAGGACTTTGGATTGAAAGGATTGGATGCGTTTGATGTTAGAGAACTTTGCTGTCCCCCAAAGTTCAAGTCCGTAGGTCCAAATGGGTTTCAGGATTGTCTTGTAGATCAGTAATTTGTTGTCAATTGAAAGTTGAGATTTTCTGGTCAGTAGTCTGTATAATTGGCCGTATCGTCGGTTAAGTTCTTGTCTTTTAAGTCTAGTATGTGGGTTCCACGTTAGTCTTCGGTCTAAGATAAAGCCAAGATACCGGACTGTGTCTGAAAAAGGAAGCTGGATGGAATTAAAGTGGACTGATGGACAGGATCTGCGGCGGAGTGTGAAGGTAATGTGTTTGCATTTGGACTCGTTTACTTTGATGCGTCATTTATTACACCAGTGCTCAATCATGGAGAGGTGTCTTTGAAGATTTAAAGATGCTATTTCGGGATCTGAGTTGGATGATAGGCTGGAGGTGTCATCAGCAAATGTTGCCAGGAAGGTATTGGGATGGACAGGGATATCGGCGGTAAAAAGGATATAAAGGACGGGACCCAAGACGCTACCTTGAGGAACACCAGCTTCAACTGGGTAGGAGTTGGAAAATTCTGAACCACAGAGAACCCGAAAGGTACGATCAGAGAGGTAGGAGCGGAGGATTAGGTACAAGGGCTGGAGTAGATAGGTTTTCAGCTTGGAAAGAAGCCCGGCGTGCCATACCCGGTCAAAAGCTTGAGCTACGGTACAAAAGCACCCGAGCAATATTGCTTTCTTTCCAGTGCTGCGGAAATATGATCGACCACTCGCAGTCCTTGTTGGACTGTGGAGTGTTGTGAACGAAATCCGAACTGATGGGAAGGAAGATTTTGGGATTCTATAAAAGGTGGGATTCGTTTCAGGAGAATCTTTTCAAAGATTTTGGAGAGGATTGGAAGTAGGCTAATTGGTCTGTAGGACGTAGAGGTGTTGGGAGATTTGCCTGGTTTCGGAAACAGGATAATAGTGGAATGTTTCCACAAAAGAGGAAAGTGGGTGTTTCTAAGGATGGCATTGTATAAATAAGTGAGAAATATAACAGCTTTAGGAGGGAGTTGTCGAAGGATTTGAGAGGTAAGGAGATCGTATCCAGGAGATTTACGGAGAGGAAGTTTTTGTAAGTGATGTTTGCCCTCAGAAGGATTACTTGCTTTAGGGGGTAAGGAAAGTGGAATGGGTGATGTAAGGAATTCTTCTACTGTTATGGTATGGGTGGGGTCGGATTCCGGAAGTGAGGTGAATGTTCTGGAGAGGTGTCTGGCGAATTCCTCAGCTTCGTCTTCATCAGACGCTACCCAGGAGCCATCGCTTCGACGAAGGGGATGGGAAATATGATGGGATTTAAGGATTTTGTTGGTGATCTTCTATAGAGAATTGTCGTGAACAGAGAGGGAAGTAAGGTAGGAGTTGAAGGATTGGGATTTGAAGATGGCCAATTCCTGCTTTAATAGTTTAGTGAAATAATTATAAGAGCGCCGATCGGTTGGGTGTCTTGAACGTTGCCATAATATTCGGGCACGGCGTTTGATATGAATTAGATCTAGCAGGTGCTTAGGTAAATTATTTTTCTTAGGAATTTTCGAGGAGAACTTTGGAGAGGAAGCAGTCCAGATTGCTTGCTGAATAGTAGTGGTAAAGGAATTTACGGCATTATCGAGGTCTTCTGGGCTTTTCAGGGTTGTTCTGAGGTCAATTTTATCTGAAAGGATTTGATGAAAGAGTTTCCAGTTAACTGGACCTCTGATGAAGGACGGTGAAGGGGGTTTAGGAATAGGAGCTATTGATAATTGAAGTATTAATGGACTATGATCTGAGGAAAGTTCATCAAGACGGGTAAAGGAATGATTGAGGGCACCTAAACCACTGAGGATGAAAAAATCAAGGATATCAGGATTGCGGTTAGGATCAGTGGGCCAGTAGGTTGGTGAGTTGGGTGGAAGGAGACTGAAACGTTGGGTATTGAGTGCAGACAGAAATGTTCTGCCACGAGAATTCTTGGTTCTTGAACCCCAAACTTGATGCTTGGCATTTAAGTCTGCACCCAGGATGAAATGATGACCTAAGGAGTTGAGGAGAGAACTGAACTGGACTTTGGATATGGATCGGTTAGGAGGGCAATATGCTGATGCAAGGGTGACTGGAAAGGAGAAGGTTTTGATTACAATAGCGGTTGACTGTAGGAAATCTTGAGTAGGTAATGGGAGTAAGTGATGGGAGAGGGATTGGTGTACGATGACAGCAGTACCGGCATGTGCTCTAGCGTCAGGATGGTCAGTACGGCATGTTATATACTGTGGAAATCCCACATTAAACAATTTAAGCAATAATAATCCTTACGATACCAAAAATTCAATACAAGTTAAAGATAATATTAAATTATTAAATAAAATCAATGAGGATGAAGAATTAGTAAGTTATGACGTGGACTCTCTTTTTACTAACGTCCCGCAAAAAGAAGTGCATAAAATACTAGAAAAAGAATGGTCCGTAATAGAACTTCATACACCAATTAAAATTAAGGCAATATTCCTTGAAGGAATAAGATTATGTTGCGAAAATGGATATTTTGCATATAATAATACTTTTTATTTAATGAAAAACGGTCCACCGATGGAAGGTTCGCTCTCGATCAATCTTAGCGGCATAAATCTAAAACACTTAATGGACCAGGCGATAAAATACGTACATGTAAGATTTTTTATAAGAAAATGTGTATACTTTGCACCAAGATTTGGTGAGTTCTCCTATTTCATTTCTATATATCATAATGTCCAAAAATCTGATTTTATTATTTTGTTTTATTTCTATTGTAAATTTTAGTTTGTCTGATAAGTGAATTTTTGGGGTGTTGTCCTACATCTCAAGAATCTTCTTAAGAAGAATTCACAGACTTGCTTTGACATTCAATCTATAAATAATATTAATAATATAAACTTGAAAAACATATATTACAAAAGCAAGAATTATTAATTGGTGTCTTTATTTAAAAAACTGAAGTTAATTTGGCTATTTTGGAGTTAAATAATATATGATATTTTTTTTTATTGTAAATTACTGATCTAAATAATAGTGATATAAAACTCTACATACTTGATTTTTATAGGTGGAAATTAAATAAGATACTAGCCTCAGGACCTCCACAAGAGAAGAGGAAAGGTGCATATGATGAAAGGGAAGCCTTTATCAACATTGTCGTCACCAACTGTATTCTTTGACCACTATTTCCTCATGTTATCTTTCCTTAATTTTAAAAACATAGCTAAAACAGGAGACAGGAGTGGCTGTAGAAGACAGCCATGTCTATGAGCGGTAGTGTACCGAACTACCTTTTCCTCGAGAAAAAACCGACAGAAAATAAAGTGTCCTTTTTTGTTGTGAAAATTCCCATTTCCGCTTGGTGTGAACTACGGACCATCCATACGAATGGACAACATTTTATTGAAGCAAACGCTCTAAATGGTAACACGTATGTAGACTTCCTCTAGGAAATTCCTCCTGTCGTGTTTTGAGATATCGCTCTCGCATTTAGAGCTCAGAAGTAGCTACAGCACTGTTGCTCCTCTGCACTGGCGGATCTACAGAGGGGGCTTTCGGGTTGAAACTCCCCGCCCCCGCTCTAAAATGTTTTTTTTTTTTTTTACTTTTATTATGATATTTACAACTGCATTAGTATGAATACATCAAGTAAATGTGTACATAGGAATATCACATGAAACATGCTTGTTGAGAAACTACCCATTGGTAGCACTAAATTAACATGGTAAAATATGTTTTATGGAAAAGAAAAATTATCTCTTAAAGTATTATTGTTTTTGTAATTAAATTCAATAAGACTTCAAGAATCACTTAAACACCATTTCATATAGGTAGTTGGTTTCTTTCTTTTTTTTTCTAATGTAATTATCGTTACAAATATGTATATATATATATATATATATATATATATATATATATATATATATATATATATATATTTTTTTTTTTTTTTTAAACTTATTTATTGAAAAATATTACAATATGTCTCAAAGGACATTTATAATAGTGTTCAGAGATCACATTCACACTCTATATACAATAAATAAAATAAATTATACAGACAAATAATATATATACAATAAATTAGAATAAAATAACCTAAAAGTAAATAAATAAAAAGAACTCATACATACACTATTTAGAATAAGGCGAAAGAAGTACGATCCAGACTTGTCCCTCTAACTGTGGAGGAAAAAGCATGACTCCAGGAGTACCCTGGAGTACACTTCTCTCTTAACCGCGTCAGTGGAGATTGAGTAAGAGTGCTTTAGCCACATACACTCATGTCGTGAGTGTAGAATCTGGCCATTGCCAAAACTCTAATATTTACAAACTATAAAAGGTCGCGGGGCCACTGCCGTTTTAACGTACCCACCCCCGTGTGAGTGGGGTTGGATTTCGGATGAGAGGTGAATGTAAGGGAAGGGTGTTTGGCGAATTCCTTGGCTTTATCTTCGTCATACGCTGCCCAAGAGCCATCACCTCGACATAGAGGATGTGATATATGATGAGGTTTTAGAAATTTTTTAGTGATTTTCCATAGGAAATTGTCATGAGAAGAGAGGGAAGTACTGTAGGAATGGGATCTGAAGTTGGCCAATTCTACCTTTTATTTTTGTGCAGAAATAATTATAGGATTGACGACCGGTATGGTGTCTAGTACGTTGCCATAATAGCCATAATAGCCAGATTGCTTGTTGGATAGTGGTGGTAAATGTACGGCATTGTCAAGTTCTTCTGGGGTTTTCAGGATTATTCTGAGGTCAATTTTATCGGGAAGTATTTGGTGAAAGAGTTTCCAGTTAACTGGGTCTGTGATGAAGGACGATGGAGAAGGCTTAGGAATAGGAGCTAAAGATAATTGGAGTTATAATGGACTATGATCTGAGGATAGTTCGGCAAGACGGGTAAGGAAATGATTGAGAAGACCTAAGCCACATTGGATGAAAAAATCAAGAATATCGGGATTGCGGTTAGGATCTGTGGGTCAGTATATAGGTGGGTTAGGAGGAAGGAGACTGAAACGTTGGGAATTGAGTGCAGATAGCAATGGTCTACCACGAGAATTCGTGGTTCTAGAACCCAATTGATGATGTTTGGCGTTTAAATCTCCACCCAGGATTAAGTGATGTCTTAAGGAGTTGAGAAGAGAACTGAACTGGACATTGGATATGTATCTGTTAGCAGGGCAATATGCTGATGCTATGGTGACGGGAAAAGAGAAGGTTTTGATTAAGAAAGCGGTGGATTGTATGAATTATCGACTCAAGAGATAATGGGAGATGTGAATCATTAAGGATTTTTTAAAGGAGGGATGAGGTGAGATAGGAGATTTTTGAGCAGTGATATGAGTGGAGTAACTAGGGATTTGAAATCAGTGAGGAAAGATGCTAACAAACTGGTGAGATCTGTTGCATTTGAAGGAGGAGGGATATGATGAATTTATTGTTGATGGTTAGTTATATTCGCATCAATAGAATTTTTTTGTTGGGATTGAGGTTATTGTTGCAGCAATGCTTGACATTCATCGGTTGGGCCCTTACCTCTAAGTAGCTGCGAAAATGATACATTATTTTTAACTATTCTAGAAGGCTCTCTCTCTCTCTTCTTTGCCTTAATGCTTCATCTTGAATCCGGTTTTTCTAGTGTCTGGATTTGAGATTCTCGTAAATTTGGCAGTCTTTGTAGTTGGCCGAGTGTCCCTCCAAGCATAGTGCACACACTGCAGGATCTTTCTTCGGTTTGTTGCACTCCAAAGATTTGTGCTGTTCACCACATATCGCGCAAAGCGGCAGATGGTGACAATAAATCTTCGTGTGGCCATACGCCTGAAAATTATGGCACTGCACGATTTCCCTCTTGGGGTATGGTTTCTCTACTTTCACCATTGTGTAATATAATCTTATGACATCGTATATTTTTTCGATACCTGGTGATGGCTCCAAGTCTATGAAAAACAATGGTAGAGGGATTTTATTTCTTAACCCTGGCTACTCCTTGTTCTCCTTTAAGACGTTCGTTACTTGATGTACATTGAAACCAAGAGTCGTTAGTTCTTCTTTAATCACTTCAGTTGGGGTTGAGGAGTGTAAATTTCTCATTACTATTCGTAACGATCTTTCCTGCCTAAGCTAGTACGAATGAAAATTCGCATTCGTTTCTGAGAGGTACTTTTTTCAGTAGGTTTCAGCAGTATCTGGTGTTATTTTTGTATCGTTGGTCCTGTTAAGGCATAAATAACTGCCAGAGCAGATTTTATTTAGTTGGGTGCAGAACAATTGGAAATTTTTGATATTTTTCACAAATATCGGAGGAGGCCTTGGTTCTGTGGTTATAGCTGCAGACTCCATCATCCCTTGGTCATTTTGAAGCACTTGGTAGCGGTTTGGAGTAAAGAAAGAGGATTTTTGCGGGATTCAATAATTTCTTGCGAAGAAATTCTTGGTTGTGGCTGAGGTATTGGTTCTGAAGTGTTCACTTTGGTTATTGGAGATGTTTCTCGTAGGCAGCGACAAGTTCTTTGCTTGGCTGGTGAACCACGAGGTATACTAAGGCCGTCTGACCGAGTCCTCTTGGATACCTTATCTGACATCTCTTGATGATTAATACCGCATACCATAAGAGAAGAAATAAAATAATAAAAAAGATATTAAACAGCAAATATCAACTGCTCTGATGTACACGTGAACTGTATTCAATGAAAAATCAGAGAGATTCCGTTGGAAAATAGGCAAATACTGAGAGTTGAGAGCACAACCTTCCCAGCAGCTGATCCACTGCCTTTTCCGTTACATATAGATAGATAGATAGAAAAAAAAAACTTTATTCTGGGACTAAGTCCCTTCAGAATAACAATAATGTACAAAATAATAGAATATTACTGGCCTGAACGTTGAAACAATAAATGAAATTGATAAAATAAAATAAAAAGTAAAGAAAACCTTAGGTGCACAAGCTATATACAATACAGATACTACTATGTACAGAGCATTTAAAATTATGAATAAAACAATTAAAACTATGAACGAATCATTTGAACTATGAACAAAATTATATTTCAGGGTTGCACAACATATATATATACAATATATATATGAAAATAAACAGTTACTTATAATTGAATAAAAAAAAAAATACAAAAAAATGTGTGTGTTGAAATTCCTACGTCGATAGTAGGAAATGCATGTACTATCTCTTACCAAGTGTAATGATTATATGATTGCTACACAATACATATATAATATTAATCGTTAGCTGGTATCTGACTGTTTTTGGAACAGGAATTGGAATAGGAGGTTTTTGAATGTGTACAGGGAAAAGGCATGTCGAATTTTGATCGGGAGGGAATTCCAAAAGTTGACAGAGCGGGCTATAAAGGAATTTTGGAATGAGGCAGATCTATGAGAAGGGATGTATAGGTCAGAGGGTCGGGATCTTGTAGTGAGTGAATGGATTGAGGACTTAAATTGGAGAAGGTTGTAGGCATAAGAAGGACGATGATCGGTAATGATTTGATAAAGGAAAGTGCCAAGGAAATATTGTCTTCTTAAGGAGGGGAAGAGCCACCCTAACTCAGTGTAGTGGTGGGAGACACGGGAGCGTCTCGGGGTTCCGATTACAAATCTTACGAAGCAATTCATAAGATTCATATATGAAGAAAAAAAAATTTGCGTTGAAGCCCCTCCCCCCAAATTAAATCCTGGATCCACTAGTGCTCACCTGCTCATCACACAAGTATGCTTCATCGTTGTTTCTATCTACAGTTCCTAGATAGATGGATAGACCATAAAAGTTCGTGGTGGCAACTTCAAGGTAGTCATCAGAGGTTGGCAAAAAGGAGCAATATTAGGCCCACTTACCGGACTTGTTCCCCAAAATAATGTTAGTATATTTAAGGTTGAACGTGATCTTGCGTTTTGTTGGCTAATTTCAATTATCAAGCACTTCAGTTCATTATTTTTATTTAATTTTTTATTTAAGCTGACATCCCAACCCATCCTAACACTGTTATTACCACGTATGCCGATGATACATGTGTCCTATCCGTTAATAATGACCCAACCATTGCATCCCAAACTCTTCAATCACACATCACAAGCCTTGAAGAATGGTTTCAAAACTGTAGG